ACACACACACACACAGACACACACACACACAGACACACACAGACACACACAGACACACACACACAGACACACACACAGACACAGACACACACACACACACACACACACACACAGACACACACACAGACACACACACAGACACACACACACACAGACACACACACACAGACACACACACACAGACACACACACACACAGACACACACACACACAGACACACACACACAGACACACACACACAGACACACACACACACAGACACACACACACACACAGACACACACACACACAGACACACACACACAGACACACACACACAGACACACACACACAGACACACACACACAGACACACACACACAGACACACACACACAGACACACACACACACAGACACACACACACACAGACACACACACAGACACACACACAGACACACACACAGACACACACAGAGACACACAGAGACACACAGAGACACACAGAGACACACACAGACACACACAGACACACAGAGACACACGCAGACACACGCAGACACACGGAGACACACGGAGACACACGGAGACACACGGAGACACACCACAGAGACACACCACAGAGACACACCACAGAGACACACCACAGAGACACACCACAGAGACACACCACAGAGACACACCACAGAGACACACCACAGAGACACACCGCAGAGACACACCGCAGAGACACACCGCAGAGACACACCACAGAGACACACCACAGAGACACACCACAGAGACACACCACAGAGACACACCACAGAGACACACCACAGAGACACACCACAGAGACACACCACAGAGACACACCACAGAGACACACCACAGAGACACACCACAGAGACAGACACACAGAGACACACCACAGAGACAGACACACAGAGACACACACAGAGACACACACACAGAGACACACACACAGAGACACACACAGAGACACACACAGAGACACACACAGAGACACACAGAGACACACACAGAGACACACACAGAGACACACACAGAGACACACACAGAGACACACACAGAGACACACACAGAGACACACACAGAGACACACACAGAGACACACACAGAGACACACACAGAGACACACACACACACAGACACACACACACAGACACACACACACAGACACACACACACACACAGACACACACACAGACACACACACAGACACACACACACACAGACACACACACAGACACACACACAGACACACACACAGACACACACACAGACACACACAGACACACACAGACACACACACAGACACACACACAGACACACACACACAGACACACACACAGACACACACACACAGACACACACACACAGACACACACAGACACACACAGACACACACAGACACACACAGACACACACAGACACACACAGAGACACACAGAGACACACAGAGACACACAGAGACACACAGAGACACACAGAGACACACAGAGACACACAGAGACACACAGAGACACACAGAGACACACAGAGACACACAGAGACACACAGAGACACACAGAGACACACAGAGACACACAGAGACACACAGAGACACACACACACACAGACACACAGAGACACACAGAGACACACAGAGACACACAGAGACAGACACACACAGACACACAGACACACACAGACACACACAGACACACACACAGAGACACACACAGAGACACACACACACAGACACACACACAGACACACACACACAGACACACACACACAGACACACACACACAGACACACACACACACAGACACACACACACACAGACACACACACACACACACAGACACACACACACAGACACACACACACAGACACACACACACAGACACACACACACAGACACAGACAGACACAGACAGACACAGACAGACACACAGACAGACACAGACAGACACAGACAGACACAGACAGACACAGACAGACACAGACAGACACAGACAGACACAGACAGACACAGACAGACACAGACAGACACAGACAGACACAGACAGACACAGACAGACACAGACAGACACAGACAGACACAGACAGACACAGACAGACACAGACAGACACAGACAGACACAGACAGACACAGACAGACACAGACAGACACAGACAGACACAGACAGACACAGACAGACACAGACAGACACAGACAGACACAGACAGACACAGACAGACACAGACAGACACAGACAGACACAGACAGACACAGACAGACACAGACAGACACAGACAGACACAGACAGACACAGACAGACACAGACAGACACAGACAGACACAGACAGACACAGACAGACACAGACAGACACAGACAGACACAGACAGACACAGACAGACACAGACAGACACAGACAGACACAGACAGACACAGACAGACACAGACAGACACAGACAGACACACACAGACACACACAGACACACACAGACACACACAGACACACACAGACACACACAGACACACACAGACACACACAGACACACACAGACACACACAGACACACACAGACACACACAGACACACACAGACACACACAGACACACACAGACACACACAGACACACACAGACACACAGACACACAGACACACAGACACACAGACACACAGACACACAGACACACAGACACACAGACACACAGACACACAGACACACAGACACACAGACACACAGACACACAGACACACACAGACACACACAGACACACACAGACACACACAGACACACACAGACACACACAGACACACACAGACACACAGACACACAGACACACAGACACACAGACACACAGACACACAGACACACAGACACACAGACACACAGACACACAGACACACAGACACACAGACACACAGACACACAGACACACAGACACACAGACACACAGACACACAGACACACAGACACACAGACACACAGACACACAGACACACAGACACACAGACACACAGACACACAGACACACAGACACACAGACACACAGACACACAGACACACAGACACACAGACACACAGACACACAGACACACAGACACACAGACACACAGACACACAGACACACAGACACACAGACACACAGACACACAGACACACAGACACACAGACACACAGACACACAGACACACAGACACACAGACACACAGACACACAGACACACAGACACACAGACACACAGACACACAGACACACAGACACACAGACACACAGACACACAGACACACAGACACACAGACACACAGACACACAGACACACAGACACACAGACACACAGACACACAGACACACAGACACACAGACACACAGACACACAGACACACAGACACACAGACACACAGACACACAGACACACAGACACACAGACACACAGACACACAGACACACAGACACACAGACACACAGACACACAGACACACAGACACACAGACACACAGACACACAGACACACAGACACACAGACACACAGACACACAGACACACAGACACACAGACACACAGACACACAGACACACAGACACACAGACACACAGACACACAGACACACAGACACACAGACACACAGACACACAGACACACAGACACACACACAGACACACAGACACACAGACACACAGACACACAGACACACAGACACACAGACACACAGACACACAGACACACAGACACACAGACACACAGACACACAGACACACAGACACACAGACACACAGACACACAGACACACAGACACACAGACACACAGACACACAGACACACAGACACACAGACACACAGACACACAGACACACAGACACACAGACACACAGACACACAGACACACAGACACACAGACACACAGACACACACACAGACACACAGACACACAGACACACAGACACACAGACACACAGACACACAGACACACAGACACACAGACACACAGACACACACACAGACACACAGACACACAGACACACACACACACACACACACACACACACACACACACACACACACACACACACACACACACACACACACACACACACACACACACACACACACACACACACACACACACACACACACACACACACATATATACACACACACAGGCAGCCACCCACGTACACACACGACAAAAGTGACAAACACTTAAACAGAAAACATAGAAGCACGGACATCAAACACACACAGAGACTGTTTGTGGGCGCTGCCTCATGCCTCAACAGTGACGCAAGCAATGCTGTTCGAGCAAACGCCTGTTTGCGGTACTGGTCCTCAGCCGTGTCTTCGTCCTAGACGCCAACCCTTCTCACAAATACGCCCGGGTGTTATCCCAATAGCACCCTTTCGGAGCATTGCCACAGTTGCTGACTCGGAAAGGACACTTCAATTCACTTTGGGAAGTCTCTTGATGGTGGATTGGGAGAAAATTGCTTTATCACAAAGCACATGTCTGACATGGTTCAAAACGCAGAGACGAATAGCAATTGCCCGCCCTCCTCATCATCAAGCCCCTAGCTTTTTTTGGTATCTCACCATACGCGAAATCAAAAGTGCGTGGCAAGCCGGAGCAAAATGCAGCCGGGAAGCTGTGCATGTTGGAAAGGCTCAAAAAGGATGGGCCCAATGGACGCCTCGCCATAAGGCTCCACGTGCCAAATCTGGCCGGGGCTCCGATTCACACGTCTCACATGCAACTACCCCCTCTCGCACATGGAATCTGACAGGGGGTCCCAAGAGAAATTTGACCTTCCAGGTACCTTCCCACAGGTGGCGTGCTAGTGGGAGGGAGGGTAGCTTTGTTTTTGCCTTTGGCAGTAGCTTGTTCTCAAGAGTGCAGAATCTATCTACTTGTCCTTACAACAGCTGGTGCCTCGCTCCATTAGTCGAACATTGCTTAGCGGACTGGCGACTGGTTGCGAGTGAGCCCTCGCTTCTGCAACTCAGCGTGTCTTAACAGGCCTTCCCTTCTGCTTCTGCCCCCAGGCGGAAAGCTCGTCCACCTTCACAGTCTGCGGCCAGATTCATTGTGCCGTCCTGCAGTCACACCATGACCAGCCCTCAAGCCACAACCCACTCAGCCCAGAAAAGCAGCTCCCCTGCCATTCGCCCAGGGCCTGCAGGGACGGCGTCTGGTTCTCTGGCATACGGCCACGAGATTTCGCGGCCTCGGCGAAACTGAGGTGCGCCTCTCTGGAGCTTGGCGTCGAGCGACGAGAGCGACGAGAGCGACGACCCCTGGGGCTTCGGCAGTGCAGACCGGGAAAACCAGCTGTAGCGCCTGGGCCATGGAGCTACAGGTCAGAACTTGCTATACCCTCTACAAACACAGGGAAACATTAGAGAGCCATCAAGGACCTGCGCAGCCCAGGCACCAGCGGCGACTCTGATGGGTTCTGTGCAAGCAGCCAACCTTGAGGCACGGAAGTCGCAAATCCCGGCGCTCTAATGTAGCAATCCACGGCCGATGCTCTTCTGGAGAGAGTGCGGTAAGAACGGTAAGAACGGAAAATTGGGCACACTCAAGATTCTCCTGCCAAGTGGCGAGCCTTGGAAGCTCCTACTTGGGTGAGATCGAAGACCAGCGATGGCTCAAACAAAGCGTGAGGGTGCATCAGCGATGCCTGTACCTGCAGGCCAGCACAACACGGGGTCAAATGAATGCAACATGCTGCTCACAATTGAAATTGAAAGAGTTCACTTCTTTCCGTGCCTACCCTATACATCCTACCGCCGTCCTACACTCAAGCACCTGCCTGCAAGCAAAGGGTCTTGCCTCTTGTGCCCGTTTGAAAAACGACGCCGTGTGAGCATTGCAGGGGTAGCATGGGTAGCATGCCGTTTTGTTCTGCCGCAGCACCTGCAAGGTGGCGCCCCACACAATGTTGGTGTCAAACATCAGTGTGGCTTCGATGTCTGACGTCCCCCGACCTCGGATAACGCGTGAGATAAGCAAAGCCGTCTCAGGTCTCAAGTGGGTGTGCCTCTCTTTGAGGAACCCCCTTTTGGTAGGTTTTGACAGGAAACCCAAATAGAAAACCCTCTTGCGCCAGTTTGGAAAACCACCTTACAGACACCAAGTAAGGCCTGGGATTCCCCGGCCGTTGGAGGTGACGGACTTCTGGCGAGCCATCCACCGCTCCAAGAAGTCAAGCCTTGGCTTTTGCACCAAGCACCTGGGAAAGACCACACAATTCGCCTTTGAGTCGTGTGCGAAGGGAATAGGAGTGGAGTTGCGTGATCAACTCGATCGCTGAGTTCCCTACTCATTTCCCTAAACGTGTTTCAGGAAGAGCTGGAGTATGGGAAATATCAAATGCTTGGGGGTGTGAGACTCAAGAAAGTGCCTAAGGCACCTCTGGGTTAATAGCAATTCGCCAGGCTATGCAGCCCAAGTGACGTCAAAGGAGAATTCCAATGAACGACTTCACCTGACTCCGAAGCAGTGAAGGGCTCTCTCGAGTCCTCCCAGGGTAAAGCTCGGATCAGCTGAAAGCAGTGCACGTGTGGATTCTCCGGTCCTCACCGAAAGCACCAGGACCTTCGGGCAGCTCAAGAATTACAATCACATGGCCGTGTCAAAACCGTGTTGGGATCCCATTTTGGGCTAGGTGCAGCGCCCATTTTAGAACCTATTTTAGTGGGGATTGGGATGTTCACTGGGGGTACGGGCTTTTGACCCATGGCCACATCTGTAACGGTGGGAACATACCATAAAAAGTCTCATCCACCATCCTGGTTGGTACAGGGACCCCGCATCCGCATAAAAAGGAAGGGCAATCTGAAGCCCCTCGACCGCCCGCAGTTTGGTGACCACATTGGTCCACTAGATTCCAGATTCCCAGCCAGCCCGTCACCACAATTCATACACAAACCCAGGAATATATTTCGCTTGAGCTTGCACCCCACCAGCTCTAACTAACTTAGGTGTCAGGGCAAATGCTCGACAAATTTCTGGAAAGGCACCAGGGGCAGGCGAGGCGGTCGCCTGCGCAAGCAAAGCTTTGCTTGCACCCGGGCAACTCAAGCAACCAGCCCCGCAGGCATAGTATAAACCATTTGCCACGCCTTTGCGGGGTCATAGTAGACCCGCACCTTGGCAAGCAAGTGCATGCAATCCGCGACCCTTGAATTGAGACGTGCGCGGCGTGTTTCCGCGCTGATTCATGACTCAGCTGGAAGCCAAGGGGCTACTTCAGTTCGCGCCAACGGCTTTAGCGTCTTCGTCAGAAGTTCCGGAATAATGCGGCTATCCGTTGAGCGGACTGCAACAGGGGTCGCCGAGTCCGTGCAAAGCAAGCTCAGGCAAGCCATTGCCAAAGTGTCACTCTGCCAAGCCATGAATCATTTCCCCTCATCCGTGAAAGGTCACCTGTCCTCTAAATGGATTTTGAGCAAATCAAGCATGCTTAGCACAATGCCCCGTACGTCCATCAGAAGGGTTGCTCATTCTAAGCACACGTGCATGGCCTGCATCGAGCTGCAAGGGCTGCTCGAAGGTGGAGCGAGCCGCTACTACTCGACTCTGAATCTGGCCGCGCACAAATTGAAGAACTGAAGGATTGAGCCTGCAAATTTGCAAGTGCACATCCAGTGCGCTGCCTGCCTGTCCCGGAAAGGATGCTTCAAATCTCAGGCTCGCCGGAGAAAAACTCAGACCACCCAGGACGCTCTCATACCTTCAAGGCGCAACGAGTTGCAGCTGTCCAAGAGACAATAGGGCATCCATGTTTCTACCAAGTCACCCGCAAGGTTCAAAGGACGCCGACTCGCCAAGTGCCCAGCCTGGTTCTGATTGTTATCTTCTCACCTCGCTTTGTGACCAGCTGGACGCTGGCATTCCTGAGGCTGCGCCGTGCGCGACGACTTCATTTGCGCGAGGGGGATGGCAGGCCCAGCCAGGTTACTTTATCCACCCGCATCGCTGACCGTGGGGCATGATAGAATTGCGGACGTGCAAACATTGGATGAATTGAAAGCGACATCAGAAGCGAACCAACTAGTGGGTATGAGGCTTGTGGCTGGGCTGCCGCAGCTGCCGCAAGTCTAAGGGCGCGTCACAGGCGGCCCACCTGCAGTTGGCTCCTGGCAGCTGACCAGTCACTCAGTCGCAGCCAGCAGAAGGCGGCCTGAGCAAGGACCTCCAAAGTCAAAGCCAATCTATGACCAGCTTGAAGCGTCAGCACCTGAGCAATGGAAGGCCAAACAGACTCAGTGCAACATCGCAAGCAACACTGATGCCTATGGCCAAACAGTGGGACGTTTTGCCATGAATGGAGCCTTTGGCCCCTACAGTCCCGCGAGAGCCCATCCAGGGCGCCTTTTTCATGTGCGCCTGCTTGGGGATGGGCCTGGACCCTCGAATCTGCACGCCCTGGCAGCCGGAGGCCGAGCGAGACATTCGTGGGCCGAACTTCGTGTTCAAACCTCGTGCGTGCCACATGACATTGCACACAACCCTGGCAGCCTGGGGGGAGAAAGCATGCCCTAAATGGGGGCAACCAGGCGTGATTGGCTTCCGTGTTGGCTGCCTGTAAAAACGATCTATAACCTTCTGAGCTTGCAACTTTGTTCCAAAGCCCAGGCGGCCCACGAAAAGGGGCGTATTCCCATAAAACCATGATCTTGATGTCAGCTTGAGTACTGAGAACTCGCAACTGCTTTTTGGGTTTGTCTCTAAACAGAGGAAGCCCTAGAATGAATGGGTTCCTCCTGGCTTCCCTTCAATCCAACTTTAAAATAGGGTACCCTCAAAAAAGACGCAGGATGTTGTGGCCTGAGGGTTGTATATCCCGTCCATGTGCAGGCTCACACTGGGGTGGCTGAAGCTGAAGCTCTCAATGGTCACGTTCACCGGATTGAGATTCCTCGCGCAACACGAGGGCAGGCGCTCGCCAAAATTTGGTCGAACTAAGCCACCTGTCCCGAAAGTGGGAAAGAAACCTCAACCTTGTGTTTGGAGAGTTGGACTCAGCAAATGCAAGCCAAATCAAATGAAATGCAGCCAGCGCTCGTGATGTTCAAGCCTTAGTCACGCAGCCAGCTGTGGCAGCTGTGAGCAAATATCTTGACTTCGACTCGTCTGTGCAGCAACTGGCGTCACTTTGATGACCCAAGGTGCGAGAACGTCGCGCTTCTGAGACGCTAAGGATGCCCATGTTCAAATCCTTCGAGATGTTTGCTAGCACATCACGTCTCATATTCATGCGCCCCTGCGACAACTTGGCCCCATACTGGATTCATTTGCTGCCAAATGTCGAGACTGCTAGCCGCTTCCCCGCACTCTTGTAGCTCACCATGCTCAACCTGGCAAGCGAGTGCACCGGACGAGCTCAAGTGTGTCAGATCAGACCTCTCAAGCAGATTTGAGATGGCTTGTTGCTTGCAGCTTCCAGCCCTTGTGAGGGATCCAAAGGTTTGCGGTGCCTGGCAGTGCAAGTTGCCATGGTACACTTGCAGCGGGATCTTCATAGCCTGCCGTGGCTTCTAGGCTCCGCACGCAAGCAATACCAAGAACCCCCGTCACCCCACTGGCCGCGAGTCTGGGGAGCGTGCCGTCACGTTCGTGGCAAGCTCCAAGTCCCTCGTACACAAGGCCTGACACATCAATTGAGCCCTCCGCTAAGCGAACTTCTGACGCAAAGAAACAGCACTTTGTTACCCCGAGCTGTGTCCTTTTGGGGCTCAGGCCACTCCTTTCACCCACGGAAGAAATGGAGTGTGCCGGAGATTCTTGGGCCCTGGCACTACTTCCGTTTGAGGTGTACTCCAGGTGCATCAAGGATGCTGCCTTAGGGCAGCAGCGGCAGAGACTTGCCAGTGCCGCAGCTCCCAGCCACTTGGACTGCGGGTAAGTTGCTTCCCCTGGCTGCAGGATTGTGTCCGGCTTGAAGTGCGAAATCTTGAAGCTTGGATCCTGCATGAGCAGTCATGCTGTGCACGCACCATGCGTGCGTGCTGCACAGGGTTCCTCTATCTTCGCGGATTTGATAATGATTGGCACCTCGCGAGCAACTTGGGACGGGTCTCTTTGGCAATGGGGCTCCACTCTTTGGCGGTGATTGCAAAGGAGCGGCCGAAAAATTGTTGGAGACCATGATGGCGCGCATCGTCGAGGTGACCCGGCCCGGCGTGGACAGGAACTTGGTTTTGTCGTTCATGAAACCTCGCGAGACATGTGTCACAGGGTTCCTCCAAATTTGGGTCAGCTTGCTTTCAATGCCGGTCAAGGAGGCCGTTTTGTGTCTGATCGTTAACCCAAGAGCCTGAAGCTGTGATTTTACAGTCATGCATCCCATGGCACCGTGGCAGATTGCAAGGACCCGGTCAGCGGCGATTCCCACTTTTTTGACTGGGGTACCCCAAAGAGAGTCCTTACGCATCCCCCTGCTGTGAACCAAAATTGAAGGGCGCGCAAATCGATAGCCACCCCTCTTTGTGCGGAGCAGCCGAGCGAGCCGTACAGCACCTCAAATGGCGCTGAGGCAGGGAATGGAACAAAGGCAACTCTGACCGTGCAAGACCTGGTTACATTGTGCGTTGCACCGGCCACCCTTCAGTGACGGAGCTGCAAACCAGCAGGGCAACAACGGAAAGCGCTAGCATACAGTATTTTATGGGATTGTCAGCAATCGTGCATGCAAAATACACATGCATACAACATCCAAAAACACAGCAACAGACCCACAACCAATGCATGCAAAGAAATCCAAACAAACACAAAGGGCACAGAACAAACAGCACACATGTTGCATGCTTCTTGCACAAAAATCGAAACAGAACTGCATACCAAAATTCACACCAAAGGCACAGAACAATACAGCGCGCATTGTGCATGCCTTTTGCATGCGTAGTGTTTGCCCAAAATGATCAAAATTCATGCAACATACTACATCGAAATGCAAGTAGACACTAGAACGCAAACATCATGCAATACACATGCAACATGCAAGCAAACACAAGAACGCATTTTTGCATGCCTTGTGCCTGCATGACGTATGCCCACAAATGCAGAACCAATGCATACAAAATACAGATGCATACAATATCCCAAAAAGGAGGGCAACCTGTCCTAACCAATGCATGCCAAAAGAATCCAAAGAAAAGTGCATGCCAACACGCATACAAAAGGCACAGAACAATACAGCACGCAGTTTGCATGCCTTTTGCATGCGTAGTGTTTGCCAAAAATGCGGCAACCATCATGCGACGTACATGCAAAATGCAAGCAAACACAAGAAAATGCCCACGCTAACCAATGCATGCAAAAACATCCAAATAGAACTGCATGCCAAAATGCGCACAAAAGGCACGGAACCATACAGCACGCAGTTTGCATGCCTTTTGCATGGGATGGTGTTCGCCACAAATACGACAAGAATCACGCAATATACATGCAACATGCAAGCAAAAACAAGAACGCATTTTGCATGCCTTGTGCATGCATGAAGTATGCCCAAAAATGCAGAACCAATGCATGCAACATACACATTCAACAACATCCCCAAAAAGAAGGGCAACGTGTCCTAACCAATGCATGCCAAAAGAATCCAAAGAAAAATGCATGCCAACACGCACACAAATGGCGCAGAACAATACAGCACGCATGTTGCATGGCTTTGCATGCGTAGTGTTTGCAAGATGCGGCAAAACTCATGCAATACGCATGCACAAATGCAAGCAAACTCAAAAACGACTTGTTCATGCCAATGAGTGCCAAACAACATGCAGGCAAAATGCAAGCAACAACAAGAACACATTTTGCATGCCTTGTGCATGCCTGAAGTATGAGCAAATATGCGGAACAAACGCATGCAAGATACCCATGCATACAATATCTAAAGAAAGGCAACATGTCCTAACCAACGCATGCAACAAAATCCAAACAGAACTGCATGCAAAGATGCACACAAAAGGCGCAGAACAATACAGCAAGCAATTTGCATGCATTTTGCATGCTTTGTGCCCGCACAAAGTATGCTCAAAAAGGCATAGCCAACGCATGCAAAGCAACATACATGCAAAACGCAAGCAAACGTAAGAACACTTTTTGCATGCCTTGTGCATGCATGAAGTGTGCAAAACCAAGAAACATGTCCTAACCAATGCATGCCAAACAATCCAAACAGAACTGCATGCCAAAATGCCCACAAAAGGCACAGAACAGTACAGCACGCAGGCCAAAAATGTGGCAAGAATCATGCAGTATACATGCAACATGCAAGCAAACACAAGAACGCATTTTTGCATGCCTTGTGCATGCATGAAGTATGCCCAGAAATGCAGCCACCATTGCATACAAAATACACATGCATACAATATCCCAAAAAGAAGGGCAACCTGCCCTAACAACACGCATACAAAAGGCACAGAACAATACAGCACGCAGTTTGCATGCCTTTTGCATGCGTAGTGTTTGCCAAAATGCGGTAAACATCATGCGACGTACATGCAAAATGCAAGCAAACACAAGAAAATGCCCACGCTAACCAATGCATGCAAAAACATCCAAACAGAACTGCATGCCAAAATGCGCACAAAAGGCACGGAACCATACAGCACGCAGTTTGCATGCCTTTTGCATGGGGTGGTGTTCGCCACAAATGCGACAAGAATCACGCAATATACATGCAACATGCAAGCAAACACAAGAACGCATTTTGCATGTCTTGTGCATGCATTGAAAACTACAGAACCAATGACATACATGCACAACGCAAGCAAACGTAAGAACACATTTTGCATGCCTTGTGCATGCATGAAGTGTGCCCAAAAAAGCATGACCAATGCTGGCAAAATACATCTGCCTACATCCAGACAAAACCAAGAAACATGTCCTAACCAATGCATGCCAAACAATGCAAACAGAACTGCATGCCAAAATGCACACAAAAGGCACAGAACAGTACAGCACGCAGTTTGCACGTCTTTTGCATGCGGAGTGTTCGCCAAAAATGTGGCAAGAATCATGCAAATATACATGCAACATGCAAGCAAAACAAACACAAGATCGCATTTTGCATGCCTTGTGCATGCATGAAGTTTGCCCAGAACTGCAGCCACCAATGCATGCAAAATACACATGCATACAATATCCCAAAAAGATAGGCAACATGTTCTAACATGCATGCCATAAAATCGAAACAGAACTGCATGCCAAAATGCACACAACAGGCACAGCATACAGCATGCATTGTGCATGCCTTTTGCATGCGTAGTGGTTGCCCAAAATGATCAAAAGTCATGCGATAAACAGGCAAAATGCAAGCAAGCACAATAGCGCACTGTGCATGCCTTGTGTGCGTGAAGTATGCCAAGAATGGTAATGCATGCAAAACAATATGCATGCGCAGCAAACATAAGAACGCATTTTGCAATCCTTCTGCACAAAAATCGAAACAGAACTGCATGCCAAAATGCACACAAAAGGCACAGAACAATACGGCCCATTTTGCGTGCGTAGTGTTTGCCAAAAATGCGGCAAACATTATGCGATGTACATTGAAAATGCAAGCAAACACAAGAAAATGCATACCGCTAACCAATGCATGCAAAAGAACCAAAAGGTGCTGCATGCCTTGTGCATGCGTGTATGCCCAAAATGCATCACAATGCAAAAATCAGTCAATGTGCATGCAAAATGCAAGCAAACACCCAACATCTTCAGCCCCAGCCAGTATCCCCAGCAAACAACACAACACAGCATCACCAGCAAACAACACAACACAGCATCACCAGCATACCCAGCATCACCGGCATCATCTGCAACAGGCGCTCGCGGCCCCAAGACTGCTAGGAAACCGCAAGAAACAAAAATATGCTTTTTGCGCAACAATGCTGCAAATCAGTCCGGCTCGAGCTCCCCCCCCTTGAATTTCAAACACAACTCCAGCGACAAAGTCGCTTTCTGTCATCAGCCTTCCGAGCACCGCAAAGCTTTACGGTCATCACATCCGTGCCTCCAAGGCGCATTCGCCTTGTATGGCACATCTAGGGTAGCAGAAACAGCATCTGTGTCATTCACAATCAGCTGCAGTTTACCTTGGCACAACAAACTCAGGCGGCACCGGATGGATAAATGGCGAGTGCGGCTTTGCGTGTCCGATGACTCTGCCTTTCAAACGACTCCGCACAAATGTCTCACACCCGCCAAAAAAAGACCTGCCCGGATTTGACAAGCTTTGATTAACAGGCCTCCTTAGTCGCTTCCCCAAAACTGCAAATTCTCACCGAAACAATTCCAGCTGCCATTTACTGCACCCTCTCTGGAGCCATGGTAGGTCACTTTCGCGAATCGCACCACCGCGCCAGATGCCACGCTGATGCCTCCGGACTACCAAGTTCTTGACCACAACTGCCACTGCGATCAAACACGAGCAGCCAATGAACATGTGATTCTTGGGCCAAGGAGAAATCTGCGGATGCCGTTTGAGCAACTCAATCTGCCTTTCTTGTGGTCAAAGCCAGAGATTTGCAGATTTGGATTCCTCAGCTGGATCACAAGCTTCCCCAGTCTCAACAAAAACATCAAAGAGCTGAAACTCTGAATTGGTCTCTGCAGGGATTGCTCCGGAAAGCCGGGGCCAAGTGAGCAACTGCCAAGCGTCTGTGTCGGATCAAACAAGGACAAAAGTTGAATCGGCTGTGGATTCAAATTCGTCACTGATAGCCAGATCGATCCTTGGATGTGCCGCTTCCAGCCGCAAACAAAATACGTCCTTGTATCCAGCCGCAAGCAAATTCAAGGGAACGAGATGGCGAATCTTTAGACAAGCTGCTGGCTTGAATCGCAGACACTAGCGTCTGGAAGTCGACTACTTCTGGTGATATCCTTCGGCGCACGAGCAAAGCAAAGACGAGTCTCAACATGGACTTAAACACTGGATTTCTGGATCGAGAAACGAAAGGTGCATCTACCATTGGGAATTTCCACTAGTTTTGGCTGTCTGCCGTCGGTCCAAGCGTCTTAATGCCTGTGACCTTGATGACTCCCAGGGACACGGGCACCAAAATACGAGAGGTGACATCGTCAAGCTTCATCTCAACAAATCCTCAGCGACATCCTCTCACTCTTTTGTAGGCATTTTAGACCATGGCCAGGCCGGGAATGTGTCATTTATCCTTGAGGGCCCCCGAATTTTAGACGCACATTCACTGCATGGCACATGAAATGGCTGGCCACAACGTGAAGAAGCAACACAATGCCAGCCGGGGTGCCCCGATATTTACCTCGGCTCGCAGCGATTGGCCGACGGCTGGACCGCTTTTGCGGCATCCAAGCTTTCACCTTCCCGGCTTCACCTGCAAACTGAACCTCCGTATCTGAAGCGTAATTGTAAAGGATGCGACAAGGAACCAGGAGATAAGTTGATCTTGGCATAGCCCACAATGCTCGTCTCCTGGGGCTGGATCGTCCAGGCCTCAAAGCCGCAGGTTCCGTTGTGCGAATGCGTTGAATCACGAGCTTATGCCTTAGAAGCTGCTGATTCCAGCGGGATTACATGTTCAGGGATCACATTTGGTCCTAGACTCAGGTGCTTCCCAGCGGCTGCACCTGCCCTCTCCGGCAGTATGGAGCTAAACCCGGCAGGCGTTCGCTTGTGTCCTGCCTGGCGTTCGCTTGTCTCCAAACTCAGCGACAAATCGCCCTCGAATCGCGCCTGCCGGAATTCTCCAGGTGCCAAGAGCTGAAAGAAGGTATCGTTTGTCGACACCTGGTCATTCGCATGCAAAGCTGAATAGTTGTGCATGTCGACACCAAGCAACTGGGAAGATGCAGTGATATCAGTGCGCAGGTTACAACTGCAAACGTTGCCCCTAAATGCACAATATACATATGTCAATGACTGTATGTAGGATGCATCTTGCACTGTGGTCTTGGTTGTTAGTCAGTCGTTTTGCCAGGCATCAAACTGGAGACAAAGGACAACGTGACACTTGGGACAGCCGTGCGCTCGAAGAGCCCGAACACGCAACAGAAACTGGATACCACTGCCGCAAACGTAAAAGTCCTTCATTGCCCTGATTCTGGCAGCATTTCAGTTAAACCTGAGGGACTGAGGAACAACCTCTGGGATCTCCGCTTTCAGTCCCTGCTTTCTTTGCGCCTTGCCTGACTGATCTGCATCACGCTACTGGAGGGGTTGTAAACCGAGAGAGGGTGGTGCATCACCTCTCCGCCACTAACCTCACAGGTCACATCATGTGCGAGAGAAACCGCAACAAAATTGAAGCTGCCTACTAACCGATATTACAATTCAATTTTCCGAAAATTGTACCAAACCAGCCCCTGGCAACTGGTTGCCTGTGTCTTAGAAATGTAGAACAGTCGCAACCTTTGGCACATCCAAGCAGCTTTTGAATTTTGGATCGCTTCGATTCGGTAAGGGTTCGCCACAGCTCTGCCCTTCACTTCGTAGTTGATCACACCTCAAGATTGGCCGCGGTGTCTGAACCCAATGGAAAGCCAGTGCTATTGCTCAAAGGTTCTCAGGAAGTTGTTCTCTTCAACTCGCACAGTCTTTGGAGGAGTTAGCCTTCAGAAGCGTGTGCATATATACATATATAAATACATATTACAAGCTGTATACATGAATTTATACATATACATGTATACACATGGGGGTTGATCAACATTCCTGGCCCCAAAATGACAACGGGTAACTTTTCCTATTTAGTTGTGACAGTCTTCTTTTTCGATGGTCTCCCTACTGGTAGCCCCCACATAGCTGGGGTCCATACATATGTGGGCGTGTGTCTGCGGCATCAATTTGGAGGTGCAACCCCAAGGGCACGACTCTGCAACCCTTGAACTGTCCGACAACTGGCATGTCATGCGTGAGAAGGGCGCCCAAAGCGTGGTGTGCAGCCCAGATTCCGGCAGTGGTTGATACTGCAATGCGGCCACGCACTTCGCCCGGCTGATGAGCTATGAACAACACGTGCAATGCGGCCTTGCGTCGGTTCGCTCCCCAGCTGTGTTAGGATTTCCGCTCAGCCCAACTCAAGAAGCCCATGTGCTGCGTCCAAGGCTGCGGCGATGGCTGAGGCCTTTCCCTTCTTCTTCTTCCGCGGAGTCAGGCCTGGAATTATGTCCTCCGTGTCCGAAGCGACAGCTTCCTCAGGTTTTGGGAGCTCGGGAGAGAGTCACGGTTTTGCTGCTATCCAAAACCGGAAAATCGCAAGTTGTCTTTGGGAGGAATCCTTATGGGCTTTGCCGTTTGCAAAGCCAACCGTGCTCGATTACTCCGTCGCCTGGACCTATGCAGCCGGACTACTTGCCATACCAAGAGGCCACGCTAAGAAGTTCGTGACAGCCGTCGCAGTAAACAAGGACCTTTTCCTGGTGTGGAAAGCATGTGAACTCCTTAGTTCGCATCAATGCTCGGAACAGCCTTGGGTATGGTGAGGGCACCGCGGGCATTCTGAGATCTTGCCATGGTCTATTCCCTTAGGGTATAATCAAAAAGCACTGCCCGCCAGGTTACCGCACGAGCAACAGTGGCTTGCTATCTGCCATGCTTGGAATTCGCAGAGCGTGATTTTCTGCCATGCGAGGACCCGGTGGAGGAGACGAAGAGAGAGGATGGCGGGAGGTTGGATGCAACTCGCGCAAGCAACATGTCATCGCGAAAACTCGGAGCCACGGGACCTGATCCAAAAGACTGGACACCACATGCCCGTGTTTTCATGCTCATGTAGCCCGGACTCCGTCCGGAGCGGACAGGTTGCAGAGCAAGGCGCTTCTTTGAAGTCCAGCTGCGGAGGGTCAAAGCGCAGTGATCCCATCTTGACGCCAGGTCCTAGCTCCAATGCAAATCTCTCAAAGTTCTCCCCTGACAAAAGGCGCCCCTTCCTTGGTTGACGTTGGAAGGGGAGCAAAAAAATAAATCTTAGCAGTTAAGTGGGGATTTCCCACTAAACCACAATAAGCAAAATGTCAAATAGTTTCCCAACAACAACCATGCGTCAGCGAACTTCAGGGCAATCAAAGTCAAGTTGCACTTTAAGATCCAGAGCCGAACTTGGAACGAATCCCCCTCGTTGAAAAAGAATGCAAGCGAGTGAGACGCCAAAGCGTGGCCAAGCACAAGCACTGCGCCTCGGCGCCTCTTTTTAACGTATCTGCGCGCTAGCTCCATATACTGATGTCACATATGTTGCACTAAAACGGGCGGTCGACTTTGCCAGTATCTTCAATTTCTGGCTAGGAGCTCCCTTGACATGAAATTTGCAGCTGTCTGTGGTCCTGTCGGTCCTTCCAAAGGGACGGAGCCAACTAGCAAACGGCAAAGATCTGCCGACAGTGCGATGGCCAGGAGTACCTGAAGGGCTTCTCAACATGCAGCTGCAGGACATCAGCCAACCTACCGTAAGCTGTGTGCTAAAGGAGCAGTATGGCATGTGCTTGTCTCTGACGTTATGGCGGTGCAAACGCTCAGGCCACAGGAAAGTTAAAGAGTACAATTCAAGCAAGCTGCCCGAAACCGGCGCTCATGAGCAGCCATCAGGCACGACAGGCTACACTGAATGAACACTATGGGTCAAAACGATTTCTCGCAAGCCACAGCACTGCGTCAAAGTCATACAGTGACATCCACAAGCGATGCATCAGTGCAAAAAATGTCAAAGCAGGCGGATACAGCCGTGGGCCGACCTCTCGCTCTCTCTCCCTCTCTCTCTGTGTCTGGCTTTGCTTAAATACAGACTGGCTTCTTGGCCTTTGGTCCAGGCCGGTTCTTTCCAACTCCCGGACACGCCCCCGGTCTCAAGTGTCTCAGCTTCCCGCTGAAGGAACCCGGCAGAGCCCCATGAGCGCGAAGCTGGCCCTCCCGAGGGCCTCAGACGTCGCCTGGTACCGCCGGCCTTTGTAAACCCCGTAACCTAGGTTGCTAACCATGGCCCAAGAATAGCCTGGGCATTAGATAGGGGACCTCTTAAAAATGAGAACACAGCCACCGTTTCAGGCGTTGGGCGAACGAAAGCGGTGCGGGGTGTCCATTTCCTATCTGGGCGATTGATTCCAGGCGAATCCAAGACCTTGTGCGTCAAGGTGGGAAGGGGGGCCTGAGGCCCTTTACATTTTGCTAGCCAAGGACTGAGGGTTGGAAACTCTACAGTTGGTCCACAAGGCGAGGCCCACAAGGGTAAAAGCGCAGGTTGACCACTCCGAGGTAGCTTACAGCTAGAGGTTCCCGTTTTGGGGCCATACACCACAAGTCGACCAAGGGCGCGATCTTAGAATGGTGACAGGAAAACTGACTTGCTCCCAAAGGTGCGTACTCCATCTTGACCTACCCACTTTGACCCCGCCCTGGCAGTGGCTAAATTGGGAAGATCGACCAGAACGTCGCTGGGCAACAGCGAAGGTTCAGCCTTCATGGCCGGAGACATGCAACCCACTCCATCCCCTCGACCACCGTGATGTCACTGTTGGTCCCAAGTAAAATCTGGATCTGTGAAATTGGGCACCAAGCTTTTGAGCAACCCAGTCGCCAGACACAAGCCACCCCTATAACATCACTCAACCCACCTACATACAACCATAGGCCCAGCCTCAATGGGCCAGGTGATGGTTGAATCATCTAAAACGGCAAAGCCAAGGACCTGCGGCCAAAGTCTCACGCCCAACCTCGCGAAGTCTTAGGCCAGCAACAGAAACTGCTCAAACCTGCCAACGTGATGAACCTGCCAAGTGTATTTTAGGCACACTGGAGTGCGGCTTCGAACTCTGTTGCGAGGCGATCCAACATTTAAGTTTGGTACAGTGCAGCGTCACATGTGACCCGGACCGGAACGAAACTTCGTATCTCCCCACCCCCCTCTTTGGACGTGTTTACGCAGCGTGATCTAGTGGACCAGAGTCAAAGCATCCAATCCTCCCCTCCCCTAAAGCGTAAAAGCCGCCAAAACACGTACGGATCAGGTGCGGAGGTTCAGGCTACCGTGAAATTAGTTACTTGCAACCCGCGGATGACACGCCCATTTACGGGAAACATTCGACTTTGAACCACACAGGTTTTTGATAGGGCCACAAATCCAGCTCGGAACCAAAGAATACGCAGCCTGTCATAGAAACACGCCAGCTCAGCTCCTGTTTGACGAGCGCGATGCCACGCATGGCCTAGAATCAAAGACCAATTTGGCCGCGTGGGCCATGAGCGGCTTGAGCCGTGGCCTTTCAAAAGATGGTGAGACGAGCACGATTTGTCCAAAATCGCCTCAGCGGTTTTACGCTGAGAAGCTGAGCACTCCGAGAATTGCCTAAAGTTGGCTGTCAGGGCAGGACGACCTTGTAAGATGTCAGGGTGCCGGATATGACAGCGGCTTAGTTTTATTCCCTCAAGTCTCCCGCCCCCAGCTCCCAATCCTGAGGCCCTAGTCTAAAAATCACATCAATTGTGAAGCTTCCTCGAGGCTTGTGATGTCTCCTGCCGGGCAGGACCAAGCAGGCATTAAAAGTCGACTGATCTTTGTGCATAATATGGGCCTTCCACCCTGACAGCTCTCCCTCTCTCTCTCTCCCGCCTTCACATTTGCTCATGCATGCACCAGCACCTGGCACGGCCGAGGCCTTGCTCGTAAGAAATGACAGTGGACCAGTGCGCTTGACTGCTCCTGGGGTTCAGGTCTATCCAGCCTGCAAAGCAAATGCGGCCAGAGGCCATGCCCACTTTGTGGCAGCAGACCTGTCCTTAGACCAAATCGCATGGACCTTGCACCTTTCGCAGGGCTGTCAACGTGACTCAAAAAGAAACCAAGATGTCCCTTCTATCGTGACCAGCAAACGCTGACAAGTGCGAGCGGCCTCAGGCTCCTCTGTGGTGGTGGTTTTGTTTGAAGAATTGGAGCCCGTGCTGGCATTATTGCTGGTGTTCCTGGGCTGCGCAACGTGCGAGTTGCCCGTCCGCGAAGAGCACATCTGCAAGCAATCCGGTGCCAAGTCACGTTGTATATGCAGACCCGGATGCAGAGTCCATCTCTTGCACCTTGCAAGGGCCCAGTGTCTCATGGTCAAGCGCTGTCCCGATTCGGCCAGCATGATGCACCGCATGTAGTCATGCCCATTGTCCCGGTTCCGTGAACTAGATTTCAATCAAGCAGCATTGTGATGACTTCTATTGTCCGGAAGTCCCGTTGGGACAATCGGCACTGAGGATCGCAAATCCACCGGCATGTGGTAGCGTTCTTCCAGCCCCACAGGCGAGCATCCAAGCATGTGGTCCTGAAAACATCCCCCAGCTGGTCTCTTGCAGAAGGCTTTTCCTGTCTACCCCCGTCCTGGAAGAATGACCCCAGCCACACTTGTGATACCTTCATCCACTGAGGCAGCCTCTCCCACCTCAAGCGGACATGCACAGCCCCAAGTCTGCGCTTGTGCAGCCAGCAAACAGTTTTGCTCGAATGATCCTTCCTTCACAAGTGTGACTTGGTTGGACCTTCCACCAATTCTTCCGCGGCAGCCTTTGCTTCCAGCATCCGCAGGCTTTCTGGTCTGTTTCCTTCCGCCGAGCTTCCCTTGTGGTGCGGCCCAGGCGCGCTGTAGGATGTGTTCTTTTTGGTTTCGAGGGTTAGGGGGGTTCAGGTCGGACGGTATTACAGTTTCGCGGTTGGAGATTTTAGAACTTTTAGGATTTGGAGGTTTGAGGCTAAACGTTTTGTGGGAGGTTTAGGATTAGCCTTTCAGGGGCCAGGGTTTTCAGGATCTATGTCTTTGTCTCCTTTCTCTTTCTCCTTCTCTAGATATTTCTCTTTCTCTTTGTCATTTCTCTCTCTCTCCTCTCTCTCGCTCTCCCTCTCTATCGCCTACAATTGTGCTTTGGATTTGTTGTCAGGGCTCAGGATTCTGTAGGTTTAGCCCGTTTAGCCCTTTTATGTTCAAGATGTTCCTTTCGGAAATGCGGCAAATCATTGGGAAGCCGCACACTACAACTTGGCACTCCCAAGCTGATCAAGCTGGCCACATTCACCGCTACAAGATCTGCAGTGCTCCCTTTCAAAGAGTGGCCTCCCCGCATAACTGCTGAAATTGATACAAATTAGCGCAAAGCACCTTGGACCCAGGAAAGTAAGCGCGAGCAAAAACATTGTGGTCTTGAGTTGGCAAAAGGCTTGTTTACTATAGCCTGCGCATGGACATGTAGCATCTCCTGTACTTGAGAAATGGCCAATCTCACTTGCGTCTCACGGCTTGTGGGATATGCCCTATGACTGATAACCTCAGAATCGTGGGAAATTGATGATATGTATTCCAGCAGACCTTAGTGGACTGTCCTTTGCAACACGCGCACATGCCCCGTAATGAAGTGTCAGCTCGATGATCTCTCGCAACGCTCAGCAACCCTTTGTACCATGCACATATACATGATGAGAGAGACCTGAGCCAAAAATGGCTCATAGGCAACAATGTTTAAACATGCGTGTCATTGGACAACTATTCACAGTTTTAGTGTTTCGGGGTTGTTTGTGGTTTTTCGCGAGGCGAAACCGTGCACAAAATAATCCAAGAGTCACACTCGACCCGCCTGTTCAAACTGGACCTTGCTGGGTTGCTGGGTGGGTCTTCCGTGAATCCATGGATTTCCGCGATCTGCTTTGGGCTCTTGGGGTCAGAAAGCTACGCGAACCTCTCCTTCACCGACCGCTCCCAGCTTTCAAACTGACCGCGCTCGTGACACACAAATGCATTCCCATTTCACAGAAGATTTCCAAACCCTAATGTCACATGGCGTCACCAACCACGCACATCTCACATGTTTCAACCCACACACGCACTCTGCGATTCGATTCTTCAAAGGCTACCCCTTTCCTTTAAAGCCTTTCACAAGACAAATATCTACCGATCCAGACCCACAGGCTCTTGCACCTGGACAAAAGAAAGCTCAGCTGACGAAAGGAGGACGCAAAAACAACGCGATTCGCCACTCATACTTGGATTGCGGCCAAAGGTTGGTGAGATGCTCGCCGTTCTGATGAAAAACCACATCCTGCGCGCAGGCTTTGGAGAAGGCGTTGCCACCCGACTGATGCAAGCGACTGTATCCCCTGCTCGGCCTGGGTGAGGCTCTTGGTATCGCCATGGTACATATCAATCGGTATCAGGAGGCAGCCGGCCTTCCGGGCACCATTGCAACTGTTCTGCGGCTGAAACAAGAAAAGAAAGCATGGCCAAGCCAAACTATCAACACAAGATGCAAATCCTGAGATACGCCTTGGCGAAACTCACTTGCAACAAAGGCCTGCCATGGCTCCCAACATGGCTCCCGCTCAAGGGCCGATTACGGAAAGCACGAAGCTCAGATTGGCCTCGCGGTTCGACCACTCTGCCGCCGCACCGCACCACGTGGAGTCAACGCCCCAGTCAACCCCCAGCGCTCGCTGCTCGATGATGATGCCCGTCTGGACCTCTGGGCGCGGAATGCAACTCAAAGGCTCCTAGCTCCAAGTGGTCATAGAGGCTCGAAGACCGCCCTGTCCCTTGAAGCCAAGCCAAGATTGGTCCAGAAAAAACCCCAGTCAAACCCAAGTACATATTCTTCTGCTCAACAGCTGGCCCCTCTCTGACCGAACTCGGAGCTTGTTGCATGTGTCGGATTCGCATCCGAAGGTGGCAGACTTTCTCCCTGAGGCAATGGCGACCCTTCGAAGGTACCTGCAGGCGCTCGGATCGCGTTTTCAGCAACTGGGGCAGCTGTTTTTTAGCCAAGAAGCCATGTGGCAAAGGATCCGGTCAGCATTGCAAACCTTAGACCCCCGCTTCGTTTAAGATGATACGCGGTGCCCCAAAAATCTGCAACGAGAAGTGTCGTGTCTTGCTCAGCATTCATTGAAGCAAGCAGCCACTGCTCAATCAAGTCGGTTTCCACGAAGCGAATCCTCAAACCCGCCACACGCACAACAACACGGCCTTGCAAAACAGGCTGAGACGGCTCCGGCAAATTAACAATGATCTATGCGTAGTACAGCTGCGTTCACTTCCGACAGGGTCCTGGTGCGGTTGCACCTTGTCCACCATTCTGCCTTCAATGGGTAGAAGGGCGATCGATTTCGCACCTGTCTGCAGGAGCCAGCTTGGCATGCGCACGTCTGACATAAATCTTACAGCAGCGCGGCGGAGCCAGTCACCGGGGCAATTCCCCATTTCGAGGTGTAGTCTTCATAGCGCCGGAAGTAGTCAGCCCATGGGAAGCTTGAGAGACCCATGTCCTCAAAGGCGTGCACTCGCAGCACTGTTTGAAGGTTGCCGTTCAGCCGCGTACGCCGCATCACGGACGTATACGGTACTGGAAGTCCCTATATGACATGGGACTCATTTTTTTTGCTGGCTATAGCTAGCTATCACTCATCAGAAGCTGTATGCCAAATGTTACTGCAATCTGACAGTTCTGGCAGTCTCCAGTTCGATATTCGTCTGATGTGATGCCCATGATACATGCACTAAGTTGGTAACCTGCCTGCCATCCGGCATTGACTAGTGAGCCTTCGACCCAAAATGTTCAGGAGGGTAGGACCTGCAAACAAAGAAAAACAAGCAACTGTTGACTGCCCATCCAGTATGAAACTTCGAGCCTGAAACCATGCAAGCAAGAAGCAGCATCGAACACCATCAGGAAGTCATAGTTGGCGAATTGCTCAACATCCTCCGTATAATACACCTCACGGGTCCAGGAAATCCTGTGGTATCCGTGGTATCCGTGCGCTTTTTGCAGCCAAAGCACCCACTTCGAGAAGCGCCCACGAGACACTCCTAATCACCCAGGGTTTTGGGAAACTTAGGGGTTTCCTTACAAGCCAAAAGGCATGGCTTACTTTGGGGTTCCGTTTCTCATTCCCCAAGGTGACTCGCTGATTGCCGCGTCGTGTTTCACGAGCTCTGAGGCGGCGGCGGTAGAGCATCCGGACGTTCATTTGCCGAAGTTCCCGGAAGCTTTCCAGGCCAGGGCATTTTCCGTCTTCAGAGGCATCTGCAACGATCACCTGCGGATCTGAACATGCCAG